GAAAAAAAAACCTCCAAGTTGAAATGCAATGAAGTTTCAGTCTTAATAATTTGGGTGCCCGTCTCCATCTCCAATCCTGGAGATGGTGCCTCAGATGTTGTTCTGTAGTTGTCTCATCAAAAGGGACGCATAAAGTAGAACAAAACTACACACACACACCAAAAAAAAAAAAAAAAAAAACCCACCAAGTGTCCCAAGTTCAAATGCAATACATTTTCAGTAAGTTTTTCATCAGCATGCAGGTGTAATTCAGTTGTTTTCTCATCAAGGGTAGGGAGAAAAAGAAAAAGAAGAGTCCGGAGACAGTTCTGAGAATGGTATCTGCAGTTGTGGCTTGCCTGCCTGCTGCTGTTAGCCTGCTGTTTCTGGAGGCGTTATTTATGCAGATCTCTGGGATGAGCTTAGCAATCACTTGGCCCTGCAGGCTTTGTTTGCTCAGAGTTCTCCTGTGCGGGAGCCTCTGCTACAAGCTTTCCCCTTTTCAAGCACACTGGGAAAGGTGACACTGCACCTGGGTTGTCAGGCCTGTGTGTTTATTTACAGTTCATGTGGGAGGTAGGTCTTCCCCCCTCTCCTGTGGAATTTTCCTCCCACTGCCACTTTCACAAGCTTTCCTGCTCCTGATTACTGGGCAGTGCTGCTGCTCCTGCCAGCTGCCAAGTTTGTTTACAGTTCACGTGGGAAGTGGGTCTTCCCTCCTCTCCTATGGAGTTTTCCTCCCTCTGCCACTCTCACCAGCTTTCCCGCTCCTGGTTGCTGGGCACGTGCCCCCACTCCCGCCGGAGGCTCTCTGGCCCACCCGGCTTGTTTATTTACAGTCCCAGGAAGGATTCCCTTCCCCCAATCTTTGGCTCAGGGTGCCCCACCCTCTTTCCTGCTTGTCTTTATTGTTCTTATTGCTTATTACCCAGTTTCTCTTTTTTCCCTGGGTGTAGGTCAGCCTGTCCAGGGAGCTATGCTGCTCTGGCCCAGGCTTGTCTGTGGGAGTACCACGGTACCACGAAACTCACCTGGTCGCCTCTTCCCAAGCCATCTGGGCATGGGCGACTGGCGGCCCAGGGTCCCTCCTGGTCTCCTGGTTTCTCCCTTTAATGTGAAGTAGAGATTCTCTGCTCCAGCTGGAGGTGTGCAGGGGTCAAAGTTATGCCTCTTCTCAGTGATTATGCCTGCAAAGTGTGTCTCCAGAGTCTCTCCAAGATTTCACTATAGGAGGCTCACTTTCTGCTTCCTCCCTCTAGCCGCCATCTTGGAATCCTCCTTGTATTTTCAAAATAAGCCACACTTGATCATAGTGACAATGTTTTTCTTCCTTTATTGTTAGACTATGTTTGCTAATAGCTACATTTAAAATAGAAAATTTTAATTTTCAATAAATCATAAATGATGCTAGTACTTGTTTTATTTCCTCTTTTTTTGTTATAGATTTCAATCTAGATGATCTTTTTCATTAGTGTTTATGAAGATATAATTTAAAATTAATTTTTAGAGGGTAAAAGGTAGACTTTTTGGTGTACACATGTTTAAGTTTAGACATAATCACCATCACAATCAAAATAGTTCAAACACACTATTTCCTCATGTTCCTTGGAAGTCAAACTCCCTCTCCTTACCCTTGCTTCTGGCATCCACTGAACTGTTTTCTGTCCCTATTTACTTTTCCTTTTCTGGAATATCAAAGAAAGGGATGAATATAGAATTTAGATTTTTAAGCCTTGCTTCTTTCACCTATGTTGCATGTCTGTTTGTTTCTTCATTCAGAGTCTCCTTCTTGGCCTTCATAGGGCCAATATGATCAAAGAAGTTCCTACTTCCATTCAATTTTTTTAAAATAAAGAGTTGGGATGTGCTACCTCTTTGAGAATTGTACTCCATTGATATTTTTTAATGCCGACTACTATAGGCACCCTCTTAGAGAACCTTTGTGCACTTTCAATGTCTTCAACAGGTATTTGTTTAATACTGTGCATTTTGTAACTGATATTTTCTAGAGTCACTGAAAGTGGAGACTTTCTCCTGTTTTGACTCCCTCCCTCTTTCCCTTCCTTCTTTTTTTTCTAGGAATGAGGCACCACATCAAACTGGGCAATTTTAATACTATATATTCTTTAGCAGGAATTTAGTGTAAGTTTCTTTAGCAAGAATCTCCTGCTGTTGTAATCTACTACTAAAGTCAAACTAAAAGTCAAGACTGAGGTAGCTTTCGGGAGCTGAATAGTCAGTCAGTAGTTTCTGCACATGCTGAGGCTTTCTTTTGGTGGATCATCATTCCATTATATATTTTCATTTATTCATTTATTACTTAATAATTATTGAACATTTTTATGATTATATTAATGTTAACTTTTTAAAACATCACTTTTTCTGACAAACAATATGTTAATACATCTTATAAATGAAAAAATACTGAGAATCAGAGTATTTAAGTAAATTTATGGCATTTACTCATCTAGTTGGTAGTAGACATAAATCTTAAAAGCCACATTTTCTGACTAAGGATACTTTTTGAAAGGCAAACAGCTATTCATGCCCATTGTAAAGAATAAAACAAGAACTCCTATTCCAAAATTAGGTATACTTTTTTGTACAACCCTTTATCTTGTACAACATTTTCCATTATTTAAATGCTAAATTCTGGATTTAAAATTTTATGAGTATTTGTACTTTTGGGATCTATTTGAAAGTTGTTATTTTGTATATATAAATTTTTGGTGTATTATAATCTCAAAGTCAAATAAAAGTAGATATGAATTTTGAAGTTCAAAAAAGTTTTAATTTGTGAATAGTACAAAAATTAGAATTGTAATGCAGGACACAGGTGAAGCCCAGCATAGCCCCTGCTGTGTCTGGAGTGCAAAAGAAAGTTAGGAATTTTATTTGGAGAGGGAAAAAAAATAAGAGACAGAAATCTATTTTGAAAAAAATCCTATATGTATTTACAGATCTATGCAAGTTGTAAGACCTCAACTGGTGACTACAAAGTTAGGTTAGTGTTTCTTTTATAGTGGGCCATTTAATCTTCAGTGCAGGTAAAACAGATCTTTAAAAATTGTTACTGACCTAGTGAGGCAGTTCACGGGACATTCATTGGGACTAGAGTGTTTTTGCCTTCTTGCCTCTTGGCTCCGTTTTAGTTGGGTATGACAAGATGCTCTCCTTTGCACACTAAATGTCTGTTCAACAGTACCATTAGGCACTTGTCACAGTATCGTTGTACAACATATATCCACAACACCTGACTGATCACAAAAATATATAGAATCTTGCTTACAGGTTTTTTCTGTTTTTACTTGCACTTGCTCATGCCCAACAATCAGCTTAAATTGCTGTGCTGTATTACAGCTGGGCTCTATTTCATGCTTGGATTCTGTCCTGTATTAGCTAGGAGATAATCTAAGATGGAATCAGTTCTTTTTATGTTTATTCATTTATAACACATTTATTTAATGTGCTGGGCAGAGCTTCCTAAAGCAGGTTCAGGTGTAGTGAAAAAAATATCAGGTGACTCCACCATATGAACAGTCAGCCTAGGTCAGCACCCCTCCAAATCTAATACCTCTTATTATGTCTTTCTAGGGTAGTTGGTGTTAGGGATATAATGATAAAAACCACCAAGAGAGGCTTCCCTGTTTCTCTAGAGCTTACAGTCTAATGAGGGAGAAAGATGATAAACAAATAAATACTGATTTTAAAATGTACTTCAAAAATAATAAATAGGCTACAGTGATTAAGAAATTGATCAGGAAAGACACTTCTGAGGCAATGAGATTATTAAGAAAAAAACTACATCTGGTTGCAAGTCATAAAAAGCCTGTTTGAATTAAATTAGTTACTTGGAGCTATAAATTTGGATCTCCATAAGATGTATTCTATCTCCAGGTCTTTTCTACTACATTCTTTGTGACTGATTTTCTCTTCTACAACAAAAGTTCAAATTGGTTTATTCAAACTACAAGGATGTGAAGAGTGGCAGCACTGGGCATAGAGACCTGTGGCCATTGAAGGAAGAGACTAAACATTTTCAAACTATTCTGAACCTGACTTAGGTCTCCTATTTTCCCCTTAGGTCAATCACCTTCCTGTGGACAGGGTATGAGAGCCCACATTCAAAAGACTTATTCAGAGTTTGGATATGTTCACTGATTTGCCTATAAGAAAGTAGAAAAAAGGTGACACCAACATGGAAATGAAGAAATCTTTGAGACTGTATATCCCTCCCTCAAAATATGTATTCATCTAACAGAACTTCTGCCTAGTGTGTATTAGTTTGTTTCATTGGAATTAGCATAAGGTTTAACAGGTTTTTGAAATGATAGTATAATTTTAACAAGTTTCAAGTATTGACACATTCTTTTAAGCACATTAAAAGAAAAAAAGCAACCTCAAGACCCTATCTGTCTTCAAAACTTCTTTGTTTTCCCTTGGGGTCTGATCTAGACTAAAAAACTAGTGAGGAATAATATTGTCATGATTTTCTTGGACCATGTAGAAAACCTTCATCTTCCTTCTTATTGGAAGCACTCCCTAATAATAAGCCCAATGACTCTGTTCTTAAAATTTTCTTTTGTTGTTCTTTTTGATCTTTCCTCTCAGTGGATCTGGAGATATGTGATAGCCTAAGAGTAGAAGAGCTAATTTTAGCCACTTTCAGTAATTTCTGTGATGATATTTCTGAGCTTTGCATTGTCAACTAAAACTCTTAAGAAAACAGAAAGTCTCCCATTTTGTCTTTCTATCAAAATTATTCTTCTATTCTTTTGTCCAAATCAAGCATATATAAATTCAAGAAATAAGAGCACATTAATACTTTGTTCTACTGTATATACATATTTCTAAAATTTTCAAGTTTCTTTTAAATTTTGGATCAGAAGAAATTGTTTCTTTCATCACAAAAAATCATATAATGAACTATTCTTTTAAGTCAATGGATTTTGTTCTCAAATATTTTCACTAATCCGAAGTATTTATTTTCCTAAGTGTATTAAAAATAAATTCAATTTCAGATCCTTTTGAAGCATTCATCATCTTTTCTATTCGCCATGAGATCCGAAGAATTGATCTTCATAAAAGAGACTACAGTCTACTTGTTCCTGGATTGAGAAACACCATAGCACTTGATTTTCACTTCAATCAAAGTTTACTTTATTGGACAGATGTTGTTGAAGACAGAATATATCGGGGCAAGCTTTCTGAGAGTGGAGGTACATATATTATATTTTCACTTAATGTTTGAGTTACTTTTTCAGTGAGAAATGCAAAAAAATGTGCCATCAGGAGGAATTTTGAAGATTCTGTCATCTTCCTTTCTTTACCCCTTCCTGATATATGTAAAACCAGGAATTCAAGTATATCTGGAGGCTGTGTTGGGGGAGAGGAAAAGTAAAGGCCCACAATGAGACCCCTATCTTAAGAAAGAAAGAAAGGAAGGAAGGAAGGAAGGAAGGAAGGAAGGAAGGAAGGAAGGAAGGAAGGAAGGAAGGAAGGAAGAAGGAAAGAAAGAAGGAAGACAGGAAGGAAGGAAGGAAAGAGAAAGAAAGTAGTTATAAAATGATATTCTTTTTAATTCTAGAAGAAATTAAAGAATAAGGGTGTTGGTGGATATTACCAAATTACTTATTTTTATTAAGTCCACATTAATGAATTTTTCTCTTATTTGCACCTTTGTCATATGTTGCAGGTTTATGGTCTAAGGGAAAGGATGAGTGTGATTTGGGGCTTATCTGTATAAAGATTGAATATATAATAGCTATGTTATTAGTCAAGCTTGAAAAAGAGTGTTGATGCTATTATACATGTTATTTTCTGGTAGATATTTTCTTTTCATTTTGCTCTACCTTTGAAGATCAGCATGTGAATCAAATTGTATTGATTTTAACCACTGTTTGTTTGATTTTGAGACAGAGTCTTGCTATGTAGCCCAGACTTGTCTTGAACTAGCAATCTTCCTGCCTCTGCCTCCTAAGTACTGGGATTACAGTTGGGTCCCACCATATGCAGCTAATTAGCATACTTTATTCTTTTCAAAATCCCTTCTTCTTCTTAAAAAGCCTGTTGAAACTGTTCTAGGAATTGGGGCAGTGGGGATGAACAAGAGCAGTGGAAGGGGTGAATTCAGGAATGATACATTTGAAACATTGTAAAAACCTTTCTAAATGCTACAGTGTACCCTCACCCAGCAAAACAAACAAACAAAAAAAAAAGAACTACACAAAGGAAGCAACAGTTTGTATGTGTTGAACAAGGGGGAAAAAAAGCCAGAAATAAATAACTTTTTTACAACTTCACCTTGTTATTATGCTCAGAGTTGTTTAAATATGCCATCCTGCTGGAGTAGTGGTGCAAGTGGTAGAGCACCTGCTTTGCAAACTTGAGGCCCTGAACTGAAACCCCAGAACCTCCAAAATCAAAATAAAGTTAAAAATAAAGAAATAAAAATTCCATCACACTGCTACCAAGGGTTTATGAGTTTAAAGATTTCAGGTGAGGAAGTTTAGTAATTTTAAATTTGGGAATCCTCTGTACCAGGTAAAACATTTGCACTATAACTGTCCACGTTGAAGTAACGATGTTTGTACTGCTGATAGCAAGCAGGCTTTTTCCTTTCTTTCACACATTCTTTGAATGAGTGCATGTGTTGGTTTTCCTTCTTTCATAGGTGTCAGTGCAATAGAAGTGGTAGTGGAGCATGGTCTGGCAACCCCAGAAGGCCTGACCATCGACTGGATAGCCGGCAATATATACTGGATAGACAGCAATCTGGACCAAATCGAGGTGGCCAAGCTAGATGGTTCCCTAAGAACTACGCTTATAGCAGGAGCCATGGAACACCCCAGAGCCATTGCACTGGACCCAAGATATGGGTAAAGAAGTTTTCCTTTTAGAGATTCACTTTAGCATAAAAATTCTTTCAGTTTGGTACTGAATTCTCTTAACTCATAAATTGAGTTGAAACAGTTATTTTATGCATACATATGCACATGTATGTATAACTCTGTGTGTGTGTGTGTGTGTGTGTCTGTGTGTCTGTGTGTCTGTGTGTTTAGTTCTATAGTCAGAATAGCAACAAGTTCATTACCACAAGTATAGTTACAGGATTAGTTACATAGGTACTTTTAGAGTCTAAAAATGTCTTTCTTCTGAATATGGGCATGAGGCCCTATTGGGAAACTCTTTTACAAAGCAGTAAAGTAATGATTTTTTTTTTTCCCCTGCCAAATAGATACTTTTGAAAACCACAGGGTCAGTCTTTGTTCTAAATAGTCACAGATGTTAACTACCTCAACCTTTATTTATTTTGTGTGTTCTTGGAGTCAACTTAAAAGAAAATTAAAATAAGCTTGAAGGACTCCCACAGTGAGATGCTGACTACTGGGAAAATTGAAAGACAAAAGACATAATTCTGGAAAACCAGATTAAAATGTTGAATGACTCAGTTTATTGCTCCTGCTGTTGTCTTGAGTGTTTTTTGAAAGAACAAAAAAGAAACACCATCATTTTAGTCAAGAAGACATGAGCTCCAGTTCCTTCCCTGTTACTTGTTTTGTGGGCAAATAAAGTATATGTTCATCTCTTAGATTTCAGTTTTCTATAAATTGGGAATAACATTGTCTTTCTCATTAATTTGTGAGATTATTCACATGTATATGTGAGCTAATATGCAATTGATATGCAAGAATGCTTTATAATCCTGTGAATTTTTTTTTCTCTAGTTATTGGTTTTTAAATCCAAAGCCAGTGTTTAGAAAGGATTGTTTTTTCTTTTGCTTTCTTTTTTTTTAGGGGGGGGGGAGCTCTGTATCTTCAAGTAATACAAAGTCCAGGGAGCACCAATCAGAGAGTGGAGTGAGCAAAGAGGGAGTTTAATGAGATACAGAAAAGAGAAAAGCTTACTTCCTGTTTACAAGTTAAAAGTTAGCTTCCTGGCCACACTCTCTGGCATTTGCTCTGGTATATGCCCAAGACTAGGAAACCAATAGATTGAGAAAGTTTTTCTTTCTTTTCTTTTCCTTTCTTTCTTTTTTTCATTTATTTATTTTTTCTGTTCAGACAATTTAAAGGGGTGAGCAGCTTGCCTGGGAAGAGAATTCCATGTAGGCAACCTCCACAGAGTTATTTATCTTATCTTCCCCTGTATTTGAAATGCATTTGAATCAGTCACCAAAATTGCAAATAATGAGAGAATTTTATATAAAACTGGACTTCTGTCTTCATTTGAAACTAGAGAGTTCTGGCAAGGATGAGCTGAAAAGTAACTATTTCCTTTTAGCCAAAAAGTGTGCTTTTTAATTTATGCAGTCTGCCTTTTCCCATTTTACTTTTTACCTGCTGTAATAACAATTCGCCTGAGAAGACATCTTAAATTTAATGAGAAATGCTTTTATTTTTCAACAGTCTATTCCTGAGCTGGGAGTAGGTTGCAGATTCTGATCCTATTTCTGATCCACCCTCAAAGGTGCTAACACATTATCCATAGGGATTTGATACTCAGAGTACCCAATGCTGATGTGAACTTCCCACTTACCTCACCAGTATCTTATCTGCGTGAAACCTTCCTGTATATTAGAAAGATGATATTTTGACTAAAGATGCAGTCCCAGCACATACACCAACAGGAGTGGAAAAATGTGAATTCTTCCCAAATTACAAATGGTACTCAGAGAGCAAAGCAACAAAACAGGTATATGAAAGTTTTTTAAGTGAAGTGACCAAAGAAAGCAGTAGATTTGAGAGATGCGTTGTTTTCTAAAGCATTGTGCTGACAGTGCTTAGGATAAGCTTATTTATCTCAGTTTATTTGGAGAATACCCAACCTGAGAAGAGAAAAATAAAACAGAAACACAAAGAACTTACAACTGATATAAGTGGAAATACCAAACAGCATTTTAGTGATACAAATATTTCAGAAATGAAATATTTTCTTTGAGTCTCAAGTCAGAACAGGAAACTAGCCTGTATGAATGAATAACCAGACAATGCTCCTGCAAAAGATGATGTCTTCCCTCACTAATTGCTACTGTGAAATTGTGAGATTTATTAACATAATTGCTTGTGGTAATGAAGCAATTAAAAAAAAAAAAACAAGGTGAGGAAATAATAGTTCTCGAATTGTTTCTGACATAAATGACCAAAGTTCAGATGACATTCCTAATTCATTCCAGTCTAAAAATTAATTGAAAGGTTGACAAGTTCAGCTGTCACGATTACATAGGATTTTTATTACTAAGGTTATCTTATAGAATCTTAGTATAAGACATGAGCTTTAGGTAAGTACCCTAAAGCACAGTTACAGCAATTAAATTTAAATTTTTAGTGCAAATATTAAAGTAGTGTCAGGTTCACTATATATTTGGATAAAAACTTCTGTCATTATCTTAAACATTGGAGCTTTCATAAGGTCAGCTGAAAATAAGAACTGTAAACATGCATACACATACATCTTACAAAACCACTCTAAGCACAAGAAAAACAATGAAAAATAATTTTATTTAAATTCAATGATTGCTTTAGCATGATGTAAAATTCAAACGTGATTTTTCTCTCAAATTATTCATTAGATATACAAGGAGGCTGTGAATCAACATTGACAGGAGCTCCAAAGTCATTTAAATTTATTGCAAAAGTTTTTGTTCTCAGAGAAATTCTTGTGGATAGTTTTGAGAAGTGTGATTTGTGTAAATACTATCATATTTCCTACTAAATTATAAGCTTTTCCATAGCAGGGAAATTGCTTTCAAGTCTGAAATATATCACAGCTTTTGGTATATATAATGGGCTCAATAAATGCTTGTTAAATAAGTGAATGAATGCATATAAGTGATTTTGTTTACTTGCAACTTACAAGAACTCCAGGATGGAAATGCCAAAAAGTACAAAGTATACAGGAAAGGACAGCTAAATGGGGAATTCTATAAATGTTTTTTACAGTAACAAAATGAAAGGGAAGGTTTGCAAGTAGCCATTTTGCTCCCTTAGCATGGCTCAGAAACAAAATTGACCATAGCATTGGCCCCATAAAACTTGTTCTCCTCATGTGAGTTTCCTACAGCAGCCAAGGTTTTTGTGATATTTTTTGCAGATGCCAAAAAAGAATAGTGTTTTCAATCAGTTATTTTGCTTCCCCAGAATAGAGCCTATTGGCCTTCATATCTCATTATAAAACATATCTGCTATCACGTCCCATTCCTTCAGTCTGGGTTTTCACCCTGTCTCCCAAGTGACAAGTTATTCCAAGATGGCAAATTGGGACTGTTAGGGAGGAGCCATTTTTCTTTCATTACATTTTAACATAATGCACTTACTGCTAAGGTGACCTGAAAGAGTACATGAACCCTTTTAAAGCATCAAGTGTATTATGAGGGAATAACAATCACCAGAGTGTTCACAGTCTTCAAGGTTCTCACATCATGTCTTGAGCCTTCATTGCCTTTATCCTGTGCCACTGCATAGCCTCTTCCAGCTCCTTGCTAGTATTTAGTTTTTATTTGTCATAGTAACTAGACTCTACTACAATTACTTTGATGAAAGCAGAAAGACTGATTGTGAAGATTAGTAAGATAGATAAAATTTTAATTTTATCTGGGAATATTCTAAACAAAACTAATTTCAAGCCTTTGTTGGTTTTAGAAGACATAAAGATTATAGATAAGTAACCTCTTTTCTTTGCCAAGATCATTTCTTTTCACCTGTAACTTGACCTGGTGGATGATAATGGCCCTCTCATGCTGATGGTAGTACAGGTTGTTCATGGTCTATTAACCCAATTTAATCTAGATACAGACTAACCCATGAATGCAGAAACTGAAGAATATGTAGAAAGTCATTTCTTTTTAAAAAGCAATTTGGGTTGAGAATTTCCATATGTCCTGCACAAAGAGATATTCAGCCTTTGTATATTCAAGTAAATAATGCAATCATTGAAATGCTAATACATTTTAACCATTTAAAAAGAAACAGGAAAAAAATGATTTTATTAGAACACCACATTGTGAAGTATACAAAAGAATGCCTAGAATTATGAAACAATGATCCATGAAATCAGCTTTTAAAATTGGTTGTGTAAACTATCTCATGGCAAGGTTAGGAACATGTTAAGGGCAACTAATTTTAGAACTTGTTATTTTATGAAAAGTGTTGGAAGTTTTCCACTAAAACTGGTGAAAGATTAGTACTACAGTGATTTCTGTAGAAGCTTACTCACTCTGGTACATTTAGTGAAGAAATGAGGGAATCGCTTATGTTTGAATTCTGCACAGTGTCTCACACCATGTTTTTCATCCCACTGGAAATATGTTTGAAAGTCAACTTGCTAATAAACCTAAATATAGAAAATGCAATGTCGCATTGCTACTGCACATGAATCGGACTAGCTGCAACTGCCTAAGGCTTACCTGGGTAGAAACACAGAGATACCAAGTCCCCAGGTGTCATACAGGCAAAAGATGATGTTTCAAAAGTCTTTGTGTCAGCACTGTGGAATGCAAAACGCAGCCTCTCCTAAATCTGGTCATGGCATTTCCACAAATAACACACTACCTATGACTTTCAATTCACTCTTTGTTTTCAGGGATAATTTTCCCGTTCTTTTTTTTTTTTTTTTTTGTTTAATTTTCAGATCTGTGTATTTAACTTTGCTTATCAAGATAACATCATAAATTTGAATTATGCTATGTTGGGGTTCTATTTTAGATACTATTTTTTAATGGTAGTTTAAAGAAAAACTAGAAATAATCTGATCTCAATGGAAGAGGTTTAGAAAGAAATTAAATTTGAAATGAGACAGAATCCATTTCAAATTTGTTGTTTCCTAAAACGACATACATTAAGTTAACTGAATAGAGCATACCAACCTTATAGTAATTAAATCTGTTCCATTTTCTATTTAAATGGCATTATATTATTTGAAGGCTTATTTTGCATATAAATTACTTTATATGAACATTTTGAGGTAATTGGTATGTTTTCATCCAAAACAATCTTATCTTTAAACATCAGTCTTTCCAGAAACAGAGACCCAACAATAACATTTTATAAATGTTCTTTATTAGGTTTTAAATTTTTTATCTATTTATTTAATTTTAAGACACTGACCCTTTTGAACTTTCCTTAGGGAAATGATCAAATGCAGGAACTAAAGTGATGGCACAACAAAATCCCTTATATCCACTACTCAGCTTCAACAATTACCAATGCATTTTCCTCTGCGTTATTATTGTTCATTTGTGTCCTTACTGAACAGCTTAATTTATTCAAATATTTCATGGACAAGCAATAAAAAATTTGAATGTGGTTTGTTTTATGATATCTTGCCACCACCACCTCTGTAGAAACTCCTAAAACTATGAAACTATAATTCTTTTTAAAAATTATTATAAATCAGTTATTTGAGAAACACTCTCTGAGATAAATCCAGTCCTAGGGTCTCTGGTCTTCAATCATATTCTGACAATTTTTACATTAAAAAAACTAATTTACCCTCAGATACATGCTGCTATAGATAGCATTTAAACATTGACATTAACATTCTCTTTCTCTCCCCCACCCCAGGCGTTCTTGAATAATTGGGCATTTTTTTTTCTCTGTGCTAGTCATCCTGTGTGCTGTGCTTTTTACATGCATTATCTCGACTATAGTGTGCACTATAACTGTTTTCATTTTCAGATAAAGAAATGGAATCTGGTATTAAGGGTGCTTGAGACATTGAGAGATTACAATCTTGAATCTAAGATTATTTTATACAAAAGCATGTACATTACTATTATTCAACATTGACACAACTATTTAACAACATTAAATGAATGGAATAGTGCTTTAAGTTGCCCACAAGGTCTCACTCTCCTCTTTTGTCTCTCTTCCTACTAATTTAACACATATACAAATTTTTTACAACGTCTTGAATCATCCTGCATTTGTGATTCCTGTATCCTGTAAGTTGAATAGCTTTTCAAAATTTCACATCATTCTACATTTACATTTAAAGAAAAAGAGAAATTTAATTTAATTTCGCATTTTATCCCAAAGAATTATTTCATTTTACAAGGTAATTATTCAAATAACTATACTCAAGGATCATACAAATATTGGGAAAATTTTTAATGATAAAACTATATGAAATTATATGGAAAAACAAATTTACTTATTACCACAAATTTTATTTATTTATTTTTTTTCAAAATTTTACCAGAACTGATAGAAAAATTTACTGGACTGTTCCTAACTCCTATTTTGCTTTCTTTTTTCTTTGCTTTATAGGTTGGAACCCAGGGCCTTCCTTGTAGATCTATCCCAAGCTACATCCTAGCCTTTGCCTCTTCCTTTTGATCACTGTTGACACTCAACTATACTTATTCCAAGCTCTTGAAATCTGTACTTCTCTTCTCCTTTTCATTTAGTGGAAAACCTATACATCCTCTCCATCTGAGTTTACTGAAACAAGAAATTTCACCTGAGATTCTATTCTCTAACTCAGCCCTTACATCTAATTCATTAGCTACTGCTTGCAATTCTATCTCCAAATTATACTTCAAATCTATTTATTTCTCTCTTCTTCCCTGTCAGTACAACTATCATTTTTTTCCTGGTCCTTTAAAATAACCACTTGACAAATTTTTCTCTTTGTGAGCATGTAATATAATATATTCTCTACATAAGAGCCAAGGAAAATATTTATAGTTTTTTTTTCTTTCTTAAAAGCCTTTAATATCTCATATACTTTTTGTTCCCTTGGAATAAAATCTATCTTCAATTTCATCTTCCTCTACCCTCACTGATAACCCTACTGATTGGCTTTATTTCTGGGACCAAAGTAACCTACATTCTCTCCCTTGTGACAGCCTTAGTATGAATGGTTTTATACTGCTCTCTTCATCTTCAGTTTCAGTCAAAATATCACCTTCTTGAACTGCTATTTCCTGGTCACTATCAGTAAGTAGGCCACTCACCTGCTCGTCTCTCCTCTACCAAATTTTTTCTTTAAAATTCATAAAAATATATTTTACAATATTTCACATGTTGCATTTATATATTTATGAATTTAGCTAGTTTTCCTTTTCCTCTGAACTCTATGTCTCTAAGTTAAACAATATGTTCATTTGTCATGCAACTTTTCACCCAGCGAGGGCCAAGAATATAGTAGGCATGCAATAAATATTTGCAAAATGAATGACTGAAACAATGACATTATTTCTTTTTGTTCAGAATTCTTTTCTGGACAGACTGGGATGCCAATTTTCCTCGCATCGAATCTGCTTCTATGAGTGGTGCTGGAAGAAAAACCATCTACAAAGACATGAAAACTGGGGCCTGGCCTAATGGACTAACTGTAGACCACTTTGAGAAAAGGATAGTTTGGACAGATGCCAGGTTAAAAAAAAATCTTTTCTGATTTTCTTTTACTTTCCTCAAATAACATTAACAATATGCAAAAGTGTCTGAAGCTACAAGTGTTTTGGATTGAACTTAGTGGTTTTATTTTTATATTAGCACAATTAGAAATGAGTCCATAAAAATAATGATGAAGTAGTTTTTCTATCATTTTTCTGAGTTAAGTGTTTATATCATGGGGATATGTGAATGACTTATGATAAACTACTGATATATTTACCATTCTAAACATTTCTGTAGGTCAGATGCTATTTATTCGGCCCTCTACGATGGAACAAACATGATAGAAATAATCAGAGGTCATGAATACCTTTCTCATCCCTTTGCTGTGTCTCTTTATGGGAGTGAGGTCTACTGGACAGACTGGAGGACCAACACTTTATCCAAAGCCAATAAGTGGACAGGGCAGAATGTCAGTGTGATTCAGAAAACCAGTGCCCAACCATTTGATCTTCAGATTTACCATCCCAGTCGTCAACCACAGGGTAAGTACCTATGACATAAGTATCCAGAAAGTATTTTCATGTTAATCATAGAATGTGTGAACTCTAAAATAACTTCTTTAAGTGAACAATTGTTAATATTTTTATATATTGTGTGGGAGAGGTGGTTTCAGCCTTTATTTTAATTAGTTCTCTATTATTTTCCCTTTCTTCTTTTAATTTTCTTTACATAGTTATAAATAAGCTGATTATAGAAAATAAAATTTTTACGCAGGTAATACAATTTTTAGTCACAGTCACTGCATCAGCACGATGCTTTGGAAGCTGCATGAGGTCTTCAGATTGGAAATCTGTCACCTAAATATGTGCAATAAGTTACAAGAGAGCACCAAAGACACACTCATATTACCTGCCCTCCCACCCCTGTGTCACTGGGCAGTATACTGGGAGGAGAGAGGGATCCAGCTGGTTGATTTCCTCTATTTCCAAAGATGTGAGTTGGCAGGAGTATATGTGGTACCTCTTTCCAGGTATCCCACATTTTGGTTCAATAGCAGTCTCCCTCTTGGTTTTGTGATTTCATTACCTCTACTCAATTTTTGCAAATGTGGGAAAAATCATATCTCATTTTTCACCTTGGGATAACATAGCCATTCAATATAACATCAGCTCATCCTTTTATACCTCTTCTGAAGTACATATGCCATGACCTACTGAAGTCTCATTCTGATGCAAATAATATTTCCTCCATTAGCCCTTTAAATTTTATATTAAAAAAAATATAATGACTCATTCTTCCCTGCAGATAACGCATCTCTTTATTAAGTAAGCTGATCTTACTGATCTAAATCATTGGCATTTTCTCTTTTGTTTCACACCTCAAGACTTATTTTAAATTCCTGTTACATTATCTTCTTCTAGTCTTGAATAAAAACAGTCACCTCTGTGATTGACAATATCCACTTGCTAGCTTTTGTCTTCAGTATTTGGCCTTCGTTCTTTCTTTCTCCTACCAAAATTTCTTCATGTATAGAATGTTCTGTGCTGACGTTCTGACTGAATCTAGTTCTCTTCCCAGACACTGTATTTCTCAGTTTCATGTTCTTTTAGAGTTGACACTTCTTTGCCATGTGGCAGTTTCTGCCTATCCTGGACTCTGAGCAATTCCTGTAATCCTTTCTTGCCACCCATGACTCCCTTCACCCCATAACTTGCAAGGTTTTAGGTGATTGAGGAGAGAATATATGTAACCTTATCATTTTTGCATTTAATAAACATCCAGCAAAAGTACCTAGTTTAACTAAATTTAAATAAGCAAGAGATGGTGACTAACCACTATATATTACTGTAATAACAAAAAAGAAAAACCTCTTTCAAAAAAATTTTCTTCAACATGGAGGCGTATCGAATCACAAACACTTTAGATGAAAAACACTTAGAGGATATAATTGGTTTTGATTTTTATAAATGTAAAAATATTTACACAGCTATGTTTTTGTTCCCTCAATTGGTATTTTGTAGGAATTGTAATTTTTCTGTTTAGAGCAATTTAAATGAACTGGACCATGAAAAATAGCCTGCATCTATATATTGCATCATTTCCCTTCCTCAGATAGGATCAATATACAACCATCTAACTTGCCCACCTTGGTATGACCCTTTGTAAATTCACAGAATAGGAGGAAATATAATACTGTAAAACCTTCCTGAAATTTTTGTAAATATATGAAATGACAGTGAGTTATTCATGATAATATGTTTGGTTGAGGGGTGTCATTTCTGACATCTCTGCTAAACTCCAAAGGTGATTTATGTATTTCTCTGTTTTGCATACAATGAGCAAGATTTTACTATGTGGGTCTAATTTAACATATTTTCTTGGAATTCAGGGTAGATATTCTAGTCTTTATATACATTTGGAGGAGGTCATATAAAAAGAAAACTTGCTATTTCCTAAGTGAAATTTTGTTAGATGCAAATTTTGAGAGTAATCAGAGGACATTCTACATTTCCCTATCATAGGATTACTGCAAATATAACAACCATGACCTACCCTGCCCGATTTCTATGCTTCATGAAGTAACACTTACACTGCTGGATGAAGGAAGACACAGTAACATATCTACTTTTACACAAGGATAGAATTACAGCGAGAATGGTGAAAAGGCTCAACATTAACACAAGAGAAATAATCCTCTCTTCTTTTCTGGTCAATTGTAGTCTGAGAACCATGATAGAAATATTAAATTAAAAAAAAACTCATGGAATTTAATGTTATAAAATTTAAATATGTCTTTCACAAATAAAAGAAATAAAGATTATACATACTCCTTGAATATAATCTTTCCAATAGGGAATTAAGAAAAGTTTTAGCACCACTTTTCTTACAAAAACCATTCATTGTGTGTATAAAAGTCCAGTTTAGCTATGAGACAAGCAGAATTTTTTAAATGTGGTTTGTATTCATTCAGTTCTTAATGTTGTGTTATATGGGAATAGGCAGAAAAAAACCCAGTCATAAACATAATACATATGTATGGAAGAGATTAAGAGAGTGAGGCATGTTGGTGGTATAATTCAGGTGAAGCTCAAAAAGCCCGAGAACTAGGAACAATAGGAGGACAATGGCACAAATCCTGATCCAGGGGTTCACATGTTAGAGAAGCAAGCTGATGATATAGGGTAGGAGAAGGAAGTGCCAGCTCAAACAGGAAATATTACCAAAGCCCTGGGCCACTAATGCCTGAATCTGAGTCCTTACCCACATATATGGAAATGAAAAAAATGAATCTATTTACAGTTTAGGCCAATCTGTCTTTGCCTTGTCCATAGTAGTGTTACAGCTTACAAACAAGATGAAAGAAAACCAGAAAAATGTATAGATAGTCTTTCTCCTGAATGATGAGTCTTCCTTCTGGCATCAGGTGGCCTGTTTCACTCCCAGCAAAGGATTTCCTGAGGAATCCTAATTCCTAGATGCCTCCCACACACACTGCTTTACAGAAACATACCAACTTTTTCCTTTACTATTTTACCCCATTCAGTTCTCAAGCAACTGGATGGTGGCCTCTACACTGTGAGAGTAGGGTCTTCTTTACTCATGTACAGATTCATGTGCTAATGTTTTCCAAAAATTCATCCCAAAGTGATGTTTTGCTAGCTGTCTGGGCATTCTCTGATTCAGCCAATACCCAGAATTAACAATCACAGGAAGGTACCTCAGTAAATCAGGGGTAGCAGATGTTCAAATCTGGGTGATATTCCTAAGAGCAGACAGCATGGGATAGTTGAAAACAGGTAAAGAAAGGTAAAAACAAATATTTTCACTGAATTTGGCCATGTGGAGAAAGGTCATTAATTTTAGTGATAGCGAGTTCAGTAAATTTGTTTTCATACGTTCTAGTGATCCTAAATATCTTAGATTAGATATTCGTACTACTTAACATTAATTTTTAGACTTTCTTACTAAGACAAAAATTTATTAACCAATAGGACTATATTGTTAAGTAATGTAAAGTAAATTGTAAAAGATAACTTTCATAGCAATCAGCTTAGGAGATGTAATAATGAAGAGGAAGATACTAGAGCTACAGTGTTTGGGTTGAGGTTCAAACTTTATCAGCTGTTGAATCCATGACCTTTCTCTTCCTTAGTTTTGGTACTTGTAAAATGCAATTTATTCAAAAGGTAAGTGCATTAGTTTCTTTAAAGCATTTACAAAATATTTATAAAAGCACCCTGTGTTTCTTAAATAAATAATAGGATGGATAGATGGATAGATAGTCACAGATGTTTCTTGGTTGCTTTGTTTTACACATCAACCACCTGACTGCTCTCCTGACCTTGTAAGAGGAGTTGTTTATAAACATAGAGACAAGTGTAAGTTTCATCTTCCTTTTTTTTTTCTTTTTTTAATGTTACTGGGTCTTGAACTTAAGGCCTACACATTGAGCCACTGCACCAGCCCTTTTTCATGAAGAGTTTTGTCAAGAAGTGGTTTTGCAAACTATTTGCCTGGGCTGGCTTCAGACTTTGATCCTCTTGCTCTCTGCCTCCTGAGTCGCTAGGATTACAGGTGTGAGCCACCAGCACCTGGCCAAGTTTCTTCTTTTGCATGCCTACTCTTTACTATCCATTACCTAGTCCAAACTGAGAGAATGCAAGTAGAGTTGTGATTTAGCAACCAGTGAAAGTGAATTTTTTCATGCACCTAGAAAGATTTTACCACCCTGGGTTTTTGCATTTCTTTTTTTCATTTTCTTTTCTTTGATGGCAAAGAGGTTTGAATTCAGGGCCTCACACTTGCTAGGCAGGTTCTCCTACCATTTGAGCCACTCCACCAGCCTTCTTTTGTATTTCTTGCTTCAGTTGTTCTGATTGGAATCCTTTCTTGAAACAGTTCAAGAATGTGACAGTTATTTTAAATGTTTATCTCTTCTAGAAAATACTTTTATTCTCTCTGAAAAGAACTTACTTCAAAGGGGACTTAACTATTTGCTGACTAAAATAGTACTATTTTGTAAGAAACATTGTATTTTATTTTCAAAGACAGGCTACAGAATCAATTGTCCCTTTTTATTTTGACCTTGAAAGCCATAGTGACTGACAAGTATGCAAACTGTTTTTGATACTGTTAATATGAACATATCCTCTAGAGAGACAAATTCAAGTCCACTAACAAAAGAGAATGAGGGAGACACTGAAGAGTCTCTCCATGGTTATAACAACAATTACATTCAGTATGTTTGCAAAAATTACTCTTTGATTCATAGATGCCTGTTTCCTAAGGCATCTATGAATCAACGAATAAATGAATTAATCCAAATGAATTGCTTTATTTAGAGAGTTTTGTATCCTAGTGGTTTGAGCTCATACTCCAGAATTTGGATCTTTGTCCTCTTACTAGTTGTGTTATTGAACTTAACCTTAGGCTTCTACAAAATGGGTAGTTTTTTTTTTGAATAAACTAAAATGGCCATTATGAGGAATCAATGAAATATGTTTAATGTATTTTATAGTATACTGGGATGAAACAAATTAAT